CGATTTGCATATTTGATAATTCATTTAGTTGGTGTTTGAGTTGTGTTTGAGGCATGTAGAAATGGCTGATATGTGCTTGTAGCCCAGGTTCTGCTGTTTAATTTGATGTATAACATCACTATATTCTTTCATGATGAGTGCATTGTTTCACACTATTTCTTTCTGTAAAACCCGAGACTCGGGCTTAAGGGGTTAAACTTTAGCTGTTTCACCAGTTAAATAAAAAGGAACTATTTGTGAATTTAGCGTTTATTTTTTGTATGTTTACAGCCTGTTTTTGTCATTTTAATATTTTTCAGAATTTTAATAAATCTGTCAAATTAAAAGTAAACATGGTGTGAAATGCTTTTCATTTTTTACAGTGTATGTTAGTATTAGCAGCGTCTGGAGTCCGGTTTCAGCCCGTTCCTTCTCTGGATTATCGCCTGTTTCACGTGCCGAGGTCCGTTTGGAGCGACGTGACTCGGAGGCGTCGGCTCCTCCTTCACGCTCAGTGACCAGAACACTGAGTCACAGCAGCTCCACACTCTGGGTGACAGAACGCTGCCGCTCGTCTCTGTCAGACGCTATTTTTAAAAGGTTCTCCTTGACCTCCTACGTCTAGAATAACAGCCGATGTGCCTTTGGGTCAGAGCGAGGTTCGGTTCTGAGTGTTTTAGAATCGGAGCGAGCAGGAGAAGCTTTTTGAGAAGGTGATGTTCCTGCAGGTTGTGTAATTCCTCTGACGTCAGCGGTGACGTCAGTGTTTGTGACTCAGAGAGCCGACAGTGAGGCTGAATGGAGGCTGTCAGAGCAGCAGTTAATCTGCTCAGCTCCTCCGGATCCAAGGTCGATCGGTGCTGCTGGAAACACGACGTGACAGCTACGAGACGACTCGCTCGCTCTGACACCTCTGCACTCTACCCTCCACGGAAAAAGAGTTTGTGGCAAGAAACCTGTGTTTTAGATGCACAGAGAGGAAGCAGAACCGGGGAGGACCTCTGACCTTCCAGAGCGAAGCGGAACAGATCCGGACTGGGGTCAAAGGTGAGGCTCCGTCGTCCCTCCTCTCCCCGGCCGTCCCGCTCCAGTCGGGCCTGCAGCATCCGGCAGAAGTCCTGGGCCACGTTGTCCAGCAGCGGCAGGAAGCGCTGCACGGCGGCGCTCATCATCACCTCCTTGTTGAGCTGCAGGCGGTCGGCTCGCCACTCCTCGCCGTTCCTGTGGAGACACCAAGCTGCAAGATCCAAACGCTTCAA